CTCAACTTAAAGTCGACTTGGAATCTGCTCAATCGGTTAACTTCCCAAATTCTTGGAGAGTTAATGGTCTTAAAGTGGATTTGTGTAAAGCCTACAGGGAGGAGGAAGCTTTTTGGAGACAAAAGTCAAGTCAAAAATGGGTCCATGAGGGAGATAAAAACACAGGTTTTTTCCATGCCTCAGTTAAGAACAAGAGAGGTAAGAACAGAGTGGATATTCTGCATGATATCAATGGGAATACTCAAAAGGGTGAGGCGTCAAAAGGAGCAGTGGCTGAAGCTTATTTCAATTCTCTTTTTGAATCTGATCCGGGTAACTTTCAAAATATCTTATGTGATTTCATTCCTAGAGTCAATGAGGAGATTAACAGTCAACTTATTAGTGAGGTTACTAAAGATGAGGTCAGAAGTGCAGTTTTTGCAGTTAAAGCCACCAGTGCGCCTGGACCTGATGGCTTTACGGGTCTGGTTTTTCAAAAATATTGGGAGGTGGTGGGAGATCAGGTCACTTATGAAGTTCAGCTTTTCTTCTTGACTGGTGAATTTCCCAAGGAATGGAACTACACCCATCTGTGCTTGATTCCAAAGATTGAAAACGCAGAACATATGGCTGATCTCAGACCGATAAGTTTGTGTTCTGTGCTCTACAAAATTATATCTAAGATTTTGGTGAGTAGATTAAAACTGTGGCTGAACCAGATTGTCTCCATCAACCAATCAGCTTTTGTTGAGGATAGGCTGATTTCGGAAAACATATTGGTTGCGCATGAACTGATCCATGGCTTGAGAACACATAGATCTATCTCTAAGGAATTCATGGCGATAAAATCTGACATGTCCAAAGCATATGATCGTGTGGAATGGAGTTATGTAAGGGCTTTGTTATATGCATTGGGGTTTCATCAGAAGTGGATTCAGTGGATTATGCATTGTGTCACCTCTGTCACTTTTGCGGTGCTTATTAATGATCAGCCTTTTGGTATGATCACGCCTAGAAGAGGATTAATACAAGGTGACCCACTTTCGCCGTTTCTTTTTGTTTTGTGCACGGAAGGGCTTACTCATTTGATGAATAGGGCAGAAAAACAAGGTATTATAAACGGGATTCAGTTCTCTTCCACTGGACCGGCTGTCCATCACCTCCTTTTCGCCGATGACAGTCTCTTTGTATGCAAAGCTCAACTTGATCAGGAAGAGGTTTTAAAAGGTATCCTCAAGGAGTATGGAGATGCAACTAGACAAGTAATCAATCTCCTTAAGTCCTCGATGACTTTTGGTGCAAAGGTGGAGGATCAAAGGAAGCTAGCCTTGCAGAATCTTTTTGGTATTTATGCTGAAGGAGGGGCTGGAACATATTTGGGTTTACCGGAATGCTTCAGTGGATCCAAGGTGGAGCTCCTGAGTTATATCAAAGATAAGGTGAAGGTTAGGCTCTCTAACTGGTTTGCACGATCACTTTCTCTAGGAGGGAAAGAGGTGCTTTCGAAAGTGGTGGCGTTGGCGATGCCGGTTTACGCAATGTCGTGTTTTAAATTGACCAAAACCACCATTGACAACATTACTAGCGCCATATCTGATTTCTGGTGGAGTGCTATGGAGCGTAAAGGAAAACTCACTGGGTAAGCTGGGCAAAATTGTGTTTGTCTAAGGAAAATGGAGGATTAGGATTCAAAGATCTAGAGTGTTTTAATCAGGCCTTGTTAGCCAAACAAGCGTGGAGAATCATTCAAGAAACTGACAGCCTGTTTGCAAAAGTGATGAGAAGCATATATTTTGAAGTGGGTGAGTTTCTTGATGCAAAATTGGGAGATAGACCTTCTTATGCTTGGAGGAGTATTCTTTTTGGAAGAATTCTGTTAATGAAAGGGCTGAGAAGACAGGTGGGGAATGGAAAATCTCTTAAGGTTTGGATTGACCCGTGGATCTTTGATGAGGAATGGCGAGCTCCATATAGAAGACAACAATTTTTTGATCTGGGGCTGAGGGTGAAAGATATCATTGATATCCCTAATAGAGATTGGAATCGAAACTTGTTGCAGGAGCTTTTCTTTCCGGATGATATAAGAAGAATAACTGCTCATAAACCAGTTGTGAGTCAAGATGACTTTTGGTGTTGGGACCACAATAAAAGTGGGGATTACTCTGTGAGGTCGGGATATTGGTTGGCCAGCAAAACCAGCAACCCTGAGATTCTTCGGGAGGCGACCAATTTACCTTCTCTTAATGGCCTTAAAGCTCACATTTGGTCTATTCATACAGTGCCAAAAATTAAAATGTTTCGGTGGAGAGCTTCTTGTGACGCTTTACCTGTGGCTGACCTCATTTTGGCTAGAGGAATGGACACGGATACGAGATGTCAAATTTGTGGTTTGGAGGGAGAATCAATTAACCACGTTTTTTTTTCACTTGCTCTATTGCCAGACAGGTTTGGGCACTGTCAAACACTCCTTCTCCGGAGCAGGGGTTTGATGATTTGTCACTTCACTCTAATCTTCATTATCTTTACAAGATGGGAAGATCATCTCAATTCCGGTTAAGATAAGAAGACTTTTCCCTTGGATATTATGGAGATTGTGGAAAAATAGAAACTTGTTGATCTTTGAAGGGAAACAGTTCTCGCCTTTGGATACTATGGAAAAAATACTAGAGGACAGTGACTTTTGGTGTCTTTCACAAGCGGTGAATCAGAACATGGATGAGAAATTTGAGAGTCCTGCTAATAAATTCCAAAAGCTGTGGGAAACACCTCCTGTTACTTGGATTAAATGCAATTTGGGTCTGTCTTGGTCAAATCACACAAAGATTGCAGGTTGCTCGTGGGTGGTAAGAGATAACAATGGTCTGGTCATTATTCATAGTAGAAGATCCTTTGCTAATCTGCAGAGTAGGCATGAGGCTTTTTTCCATTGTCTTTTATGGGGCATTAACAGCATGATTAGTCATCGTTTGGATAGAATCATTTTTGCTATGGAGGATACTCAATGGATAAAAGTCATGGAGAGACCTAAAGTTTAGCCATCGTTTAGTCATCAACACAATGAACTGATGATGCTTTTGAAGAATTTAAAAGATTGGAGATTTGTACATGAAGATTCCTTCACCAACAGAGGAGCCTCTCTCATTGCTCAAAGTGCTACTCAGGTTCACCTGGGCCAATCTTATGTTACTCGGGGAAACCATTTTTGGCTGCATGATCTCTTTGAGAATGAGAGATTCCTGTCCTCTGCTTTTTTGGGTGGAGGGATCGTAGCTCCCTTAGGCTAACTATTAGTCTTATTTTTGGGGGGTAAGAGTTTTGGTTAAACTCTAACCTTTCTGCTTGTGCTTTTTGTGCAATGCTTCTGATGTAACCCCCTTTTCAAATTTGGTATTCAGGGGGGAAAAAAAAAAGTAATTTTTTTAAAAATTTTTGGGGAAAATTTTTTTTTTATAAAAATATTTTCAGATTGTTTTTGGACAAACCCGGCCCATGGAGAAAAAACAACTGTTTTTAGGAAAAAAGGGTTTTTTTCCCCCCCCCCCCCCCCCCGAGAACTATCCTATCTGGCCAGGTAAAGCCCGATCTTTGACCTCTGTCTATATACCCATGAAACGGAAGTTAAATGTTTATTTCCCCACCAATTGAAAGTTCGAGAGCTTAATGTCCATGAATCCTAAGTTCGAGATTTAAAACTCCATAGCGTTGGGTTTAATTGGTTTATTGTATACCAAACCGATGCTTTAACCAATTAAACCTAATTAGAACCAGTCTAAACCCAAATTACAACCCGTTTATGACCCACTACCCAAAAAACAAATCGAAACCAAAAATTGAAACCAAAAATCGAAAATCCCCAAATTGCTCTCGACGAACCCTAGAATCCCCAAATCACTTTGAAAGTGGTGGCTTTGAAATCAGAGATTGTGGAGTTACATAAATCACTTTTAACATCTTATATATTAAGCTTATGATAGTGAACTGTTACAGAAATCCTCATGGAGGATGTTTGTTAATACATGGGGAACATAATGATGATAGACAAAAGAAATGTTCTGAGGCATTTTAAACTTTGAAAGTTGGTCTGCAGCCTTGTTATGTGTTCTCTCCACCCATTGGAACTGGATTCCTTCGAATTTGCTCTGCCAATATCTTATTTCTCGCAGCCAATTGTGAATACCAAAGTTGAGAGTCGATCCATTTAAGAGCTTGGTGAGTTCCTGACAATCAGCATCGAGAGATCCATGAGAGGAGTCCATCTCTGTATCACCATCATTCGCTCAGCAAAAGCCCATGGTCCTCTGCGGAGAACCATTTCCATGGATTCCTCAGAAGGAAAGACAAACTGAACTCGTCTGCCTTCCACATCACCGGACGGCCCATCAGGATGAAACGATTCTCCGCAGCCGCTTGATTCACCACATCAAAAGGGAGAGCAATCGGGGCATCATTGACACCCAAATCAAGTTCTTGAGAATTTGATTGGTTTCACAATTTTGGAGTCTACTTTATTCTCCTCTGTTTCTTCAAGTAGCTGATGATGATGATGATGCCTTGAGAAGATCAAGAACTCCAAAAAAAAAAAAAAGAACTCCACAACAGTTCTTCCACCATGGTGTCTCGACCTCATGATCACCTGCCGCTAGGAGTGGCTGCAATTATATTGAATAAGAGTATTATTAGACTCTTGTCTTTGTCTCCTATCTAATGTTGGCCCAAGATATATAAGAATTTGAAGTTTTCTGAAGTTTGAGAGTTCAGCTTTTTTAGGGTTCTTAATTTGAATTTGGGGATTTTGGGATTTTGATTTTTGGGATGACAACGACAATGGGTCGGGTTTTAATAAGGAATCAGTTTTTTTTGGGTTAAGTTATGACCGAAACATGGTTCTGTGTCGGGTTTACGCACTAAACCGACGAAACCAAGATTCATGGACATTAAGCTCTCGGACTTTCAATTGGTGGGGAAATAAACATTTAACTTCCGTTTCATGGGTATATAGACAGAGGTCCAAGATCGGGCTTTATCTGCCCAGATACGATAGTTCTGGGTGTGGGGGGGGAACCGATATAATCCGATTAGTTCTTCAATCTCATTTGTCTCTTCTTGTAGAGAATTTGAGTAGCATTCATATGTTCATGGCTTCTCTATCTCCGTTTCCTTCTTTGAATCCTTCGCCTCTCGCTCCAAGATTCTTACAAACCCTAACCCAATTCTCAAATTCTCCGTTCCTCTCTCCATGCTCTGTTTTCAGGTTAAAAAACGCATCTTTGCTGAATTTGAGAACTCGAATTGCTCCTCTTCAATCCCAACGAGTTCGGTCCAAAACCCTTGTTTTGTCTGCTCAGTCCAGTTTCTTGAAAGGTTTGTTCTTTACCCTAACTTTGTTCTTTTGTAATTGGAATTTATAGTTTTGTTTGCTAAGTTTATGAAATTGAGCAAAAGGGTCATTGAGTAATCTCCAAAATTGGTAAAATTTGATTGGAGTTAATATGGATTTGAGGGTTAATTGATGAAAATGGTTTGTTCATTGTTGTTGAACAGTTCTTAGAACCGCGTGGAATATTGGGAAAGATGGAATTGAAGCTGGAACCAATCTTGTACCTGTGAGCTCTCTTAGTCTTGTCTTCACTGATCAAACTCTACTCTAAAATGTTTTAGTCACACTTGGTTATGTTTATGGCCCTTTTGCTTTAAGGTTTCTGTGCCTAGACCAGTAGCTAGAATCTCGGTGACAATTGCAGCATTGGCGGTTTCGTTGTTTGTTGTCAAGTCGTTTCTATCAACCGCTTTCTTTGTATTGGTATGTATAATCCTTTCCGTTTTCGAGGATTTTTTCGGTGTTTACAAAGCTGATTTTCTGTGAGTGTTGCAGGGTACAATGGGATTTGCATATTTCTTATTCATAGCGTTAAACAAAGATGAAGCTCCTAAATTAAGAGGAGATGATAATAGCTCTGGTTCTAAGCCAATGGATGATCCACTTGAAGAAGCAAAGAAAATCATGGACAAGTACAAGTAAGCTCTTATATGAGACAGATCTTAAATGTATACAGATACAATACTTAGGATTGAATGTGCTTGCAACGGTGTAAGTAGGTGATTGGTAAAGTTCTGGTTAAGAAATTGTTTTGAAATGGACACATTTACCCGTCATCACAACACTTTTATTTGCCAAGAAACATTGCTACTCTCGCTCAAGATTCACCGTTCCTCTTTTCCAAACTTTGGCTTTTGCCCTTTTGCTCTTTGTTCTCACTTCCCATGTTAGCCTCTTCTTTCCATTGTTTTATCTACCGTCGGTTCACTCAATCACATGACTACTACAACGCCAACGCGTTAACGGTCTAGATTCAAGGACTACTGAAGATCCTATGAGGCAGCATCTTATAACGACATCACCTTGGAAGAATAAGATATTCTTATTTTACTATTTCAAAAATCTCTTTATTCCAAAATTTGGAACATTTGACTAAAGTCGTTACAAATGTGGTTACACTCTCTATCAGCTACAAAGAACGTGCCTTTCATGACTTCCATGAGATATCTTCACGTTTTCATGTTTTGGGTAGGTTGGTGCCACATCATCATTTCCCTATGCTGTGAAGCTGCTAGAAAAGGTCACTTCATGGTACCAGCGAGAACATACTGTTGTCTTCTTGGAACTCCTCTGTTCCGGTTTGTTAATGGAGATGGGTAAAAGGGGTATTTTTAGATGGGTCTCCTCTGCATCGCACTGACCTCTCTTCACCACAGTGGACCAACATCTCTCTCTTCACCGAATCCACACTTCATCTTCTCTCTCTGCAACTCTCTTCTGCGAATCTCACTGGTTCGTTTCCTAGGGAGATTGGTGAGTTCTCTCTGCTTCAAAATGTGTTCCTCAATGTGAATTCCTTTAGTGGGTCAATCCCTTTAGAGCTTGGTTACGCTTCTTCTTTATCTGAAATTGATTTGAGCCGTGATAACATATCGGGTGTGTTGCCGCCATCGATTTGGAACCTTTGTGATAAGCTTGTCTCCTTCAGGGTTCATGAATGTTTGTTGTTTGGGGATTTCCTGAGCCTGCGTTTCTAGATTGTACTTGTAGCTCTTGATTTTGGTGGTTTCCCTGAGTTTATAACCAAGCTTAAAGGTCTATATGAGCTTGATTTGTCAAGTAACATGTTTGAGAGTATTGTTCTTGAGAGATTGACTCTGTTAAAACTCGAAAAACTTAACCTTTCTGACAATAACTTCACTGGGGTATTGCCAAGTTTTGGTGGATAAAAATTTGGGGCTGAAGTCTTTGAAGGGAACAGTCCAAGTCTTTGTGGGTTACCTTTAAAACCATGTCTAGGTTCCTCTAGGTTGAGAACAACTGCTGTTGCTGGTCTTGTGATAGGTTTAATGACCGGGATTGTAGTAATCATAGAGAGTGAAGATGCATGATTTGGAAGAAAAGTTGGTGGTGGTGAAGGAAGTTGGTTGTGTTTCAAGGTTGTGAGAATCTGACATAAAAGAAGGTTTGAATTCGACAGGGCAAGTAATGGAGAAAGCGAGTTACGGTACTGTCTATAAGGCAAAGCTTAATGATGGTGGAACAACAATTGCCCTGAGGCTTTTGAGAGAAGGTAGAAGGATATAAGCTTTTGTCTGCCTATAATCAAGCAATTGGACGTATTCGACATGAGCATTTGGTTCCATTGAGGGCTTTCTATGAGGGGAAAAGAGGAAAATGGCTTCTCATTTACGACTATCTTCCCAATATAAGCCTTCATGATTTGTTGCATGGTATTTCACCTTTTCCTTGATCCAAATGTTAAGTCTTATGGTTATCTTCTTGATTTTCAGAAAGCAAACCAGGAAAACTGGTTCTGAATTGGGCTAGGAGACACAAGATTGCGCTGGGAATAGCAAGGGATTGGCTTATCTTCACACCGGACAAGAAGTTCCTATAATCCATGGAACTGTTAGATCAGGGAAAGTTCTCGTAGATGACTTTTTCTTGGCTAGGCTCACTGAGTTTGGTCTTGACAAGTTAATGGTACAAGCCGTAGCCGATGAGGTAATGTAACATGCGAAATCTGACCGCTACAAAGCAGCAGAACTCCACAAGATGAAGAAACGGAATCCAAGACCTGATGTCTATGTGCTTGGGATCCTTCTGGTGGAGTTATTAATGGGGAAGAAATCAGTAAAAATCGGAAAGAACAACGAGTTTATGGATTTATCTTCATTGGTTAAAATTGCGTTTAGAGGATTCAACAATGAAGATAGTCAATTTGGAGGTTCTAAAAGGAATAAGGAGTCCTATAGAAGATGGTTTAATTCATGCACTGAAGCTAGCAATGGGATGTTGTGCTCCCGTGCCGTCTGTTAGACCCACCAAGGAAGAGGTTGTGAGGCAGTTGGAATAGACCGAGGAATAGATCGGCCTTCTATAGCCCGAACGAAACAAGAACTGACGCCGAAACAAACGAAACAAGAAGTGACGCTGAAACTCCATTTTGAGAGACAATCTTTGTGATACATTGCTCTGTTACTCTGTTAGTTTTATGGTTGTTCCTCCACTTAGTTGGTTTTCATAACAAAACCATTCTGTTTTGACTTATCCCTAAAAGTCTATATAGAATTAAATAAGTAATTTGGGATCTGAATCAATCCATTAATAGAAGAATATATTGTAGATATATATCACTAGTAGAGCAATGCACTATACCACAATTTGAAGTCAAAACATGGGAGCCAAGAAAAATGAGTTCTGTTTTCTTCTTTCTCTCACAATTTTCATATATTTTCTATATGTGTTCGGTTTTGGTTATACAAAATACAAATAATTAACAAAGCGTACCGATCCTGCATTTGAAAGCACCTGAGCTAGAGGTAAGCATACCTACAAGGGAAGATGATTTAGCAGCCAAACTAGAGGCTCTGGCGTAATTTGCAGAAGCTCCAGCTCCAGATGAAGTAAAATAGGCACCATTGAGCATTAAGTCTCCTTGGGATCTCCAGTTCCAATTGTTCCATTCTCCTTCCCCTGCACCTACCCGTTTCGTCACCTGCGGGAGAATTTATTCATACCAGTCATTATGTTTAATTTTCTAGATTAGAGCTATCAAATTATATTTGCTAGCTTAGAGGCATCTTTTGGCAGTTTAGGTTAACTAGAAACCGGTGCAACGGGTTATATCAAATACCTCCTTAGCGAAACGGTTTCCCGGGGCAAGGAACCGGTTTCCTTGGCTATTAATGGTAGGATTAGCACTTCCACCAATTGCATACATTTCCCAGTGAGTGTAATCGTTGTTTACTACATGGAAGTATCCATGCCTGCACCTGAAATAACACCAAACTCTAAAACATTCAGAATCTGACTGGTTCTCTAAGGAAAACCAATATGGTATTTGAATTTGACCATATGAAGAAAGCAAATATATCGAAAAAATGAAATGAAACTTAGATGAAAAACCTTGGCATTCTCTGTACAAGACCTTCTCCAAAATGGTTGTATGCAATGGTTACTTGCATCATTTTGTCTCTGGTGTATGAATCGGTATGCCCCAACAAAATAGCCTTCATTATCATCTCTTGTCAGTTTTTGAAGATAATGCCAAAAAAAAAAAAAAACTAACTTCTTGATCAAAAGATGAACCAAAGACCCCAGATGAAGGAACACACTACCATCATTAGAACAATCAATTTTCTGATCATAAGCACACAAACCTAAACTAGGCATGACCATTTCGGGACAGATTTCCCGACTTGGCCACACCAATCCTGAATTTTCCGAAGAAATAATTTCCGGTTGGGACAGTTTAATTTATTCCAAATAGAAACATAATGGATTATATACAAGAATTTAAATTTCATAAAATGTGAATCATTATTGAAAATGTATCCAATTTTTTTCCAAATTATCCGAAATATATACCTCCAAGTTGATCCTTACCCAAATTATTAAAATTTTAACAACCAGAATTTCACAAATACTACCTTTCATGTCGCCTTTTATTTTATTATTATTGGTTATATTTCTAAACATCGTAAATGCATGCACTCCTAAATCATCACCACTCATAACTTCTGCACCGACACTACTAATATCTTTTGATATATGACCTAACTATCGTCTCCAAATTTGGTAAACATAATTAATTACTAGAATCAATGAAAAAATATCTAACCTCATTGTGGTGAGTGAGATAATTATTAGAGATGGTAATAGCAGTAGATCCCATAATTGCATCTATCAATCCATCAGCACAATTCGAAAGAGAATTATGATCAATCCAAATATGACTCGATCCAAAAATCGATATCCCATCACCATCAGCCATAGTTCTCCAACCATAATGACTCTCCGAACTCCGAACCATAGCGTTACCGGTTCGCTTACAATCGTGAATATTAATCCCATGGATGATAATATTCGTAACGTACTGAATCGTGATACATGCACCACCAGCTATATGTACGTTCACGCCACGACCATCAATCGTTTTGAAGCTATTCATGATTAGTTCTTGGCTTAAAGTAATGACCATGTCACGTTTAAAGACGATCCATAGCGGTTCATCTTGTATCACAGCGTACCGGAGTGTACCGGGTTTTGGGTTAACCGGGTCATGATCAGATGGATCAGTAACTATGTAGTAACGTCCATCACGGCCTCCAACTGCGTTACGTCCGAAACCAATCGCGCAACCCGCTAATCGTTTTCTCCGGCGATGCCATTTTTTATCGCATCGCCAACAATCATCGATTGGGTTTCCAGTTTCGCAAGAGGAGAAGAACCCTAGCTTTCTACGATACGTACTGTTACGTATACTCCTGCATGCTCCAATTAATAAAATGATATTACAAAAAGAGAACAAAGTTATAGATTATATCAAATTAACCCGTGAGTTTTGGGATTTGCAAATTTACCCTGAGTGTGTTTAAAAGGTCAAGATATAGGAGACAGGAAGATGCAAAATAGAAGAAAGCATTGAATTTATTTTGACACGGTGAGGTGGCCCCACGTGGGTAATTTAATGTTTTCATGATCATGGGATACGATCCATATAGGAAACTTTTGGGGTCATATTTCTCTATAATTCCGTAATTAAATGCAAAAACTTTGTGTACCAGATTCAGATTTATAAATCATTGAAAATTTGAATCTTAAAGTAAGTGAGAAATATAAATTAATATATAGAAGATATTAAACAATTAAATAATAAAAATTATGCGTCGGTGGATCTTAAGAAGAAAATAGTGAGGTTTTTTTTTTTTTTTTTTTTTTTTTTTTTTTTTTTTTGTGCACCAGTGAGGTTTAAATAGGAATCACGGTTTGTGGTTTTATTCAATAAAACTACTGTTTTTATGTCAGAAGTGTTTCACATGTTTATTTAATTTTTTTCCTCGCAGAACAAGAATGTGGAAATAAAAGTACATTTCAGTCATTTATATTGATAATTTTAAATTTTGTGGATCACAATGCTTATTAAAAAAAAGTTCTTATAGAGAACATTAATACTACTAGACAAAACTAACTTTTTACATAGTCATCAGTGAAATTAAAACATACTTTCTTGGTCTACAAATAGGTTTAGTAATGTTAAAGCATCATCTAGTTTGACTATCTAAAACGTTACTAATACGAAATATATACCTAATAAAGTAGTTTTTTTTTTTATATTTTATAAAATAGTTTTTTTTTGTTATATGTATATAGTGACTATTGAGAGACTCACATATCGACCAGTGCTGCTATTTCTTCTGGGTCTTTAACGGCGTGTTCATGCCATTCACCGTCTGATAAACTGAGAAAACAGAACATGCAAAAACGTCATCGTTTTATATCATAGATAAAGAATCTGAACGGCTGAGATCAAATCTACACTAAAAGCTGATGTGAGAACTCACTTATCCGCGGTTGATGTATTTCTTGAGCTCTCATGTTTTGATTCTCTTGTTTCTTGAACTCTGCGTTTTAATACACGGCAACATAAGAATCTCTCTTAGGACATTAGAAAAAACGGAGATCACATTGTGAATCTCTGAACTTACGAATTTACATGGAAAAAGAGTGCTAGAATTATGATTAGAGTTGCTGAGATTGAGAACAATGTTCTAGCGATCACCATTGTTGGTTGTTGTTAGAGTTTTTCCTCTCCTATGTGAGAGAGAGAGAGAGAGAATGTGACTATGTGAGTGATCTAGTGATAGAGAAAGAGAGATGCGAGAGGTGACGAGAGGGTTTATATATATACTATATTATGATATAAATATTTTTTATTATTATGATATAATGTTTTAGAAATTTAGTAAGTTTTCTTGGGATTTTATATAAATATTAAGTTGAAGTTTAATTGAACTAAACTAACTATCTATTTTAGGGTCTGATTGGATTAAGCGCAATGGAAACCGTTGTGACTACAAATGCATGTTAGAAGCGGGCGGTTGCAATTTCAACCGGTGTTTTGAATGATTTGTTTAGTGGTTGAAAATTGGTGCATTTATGAAAGTTTTATGACTGGTTAACAAACGGGTATGACAACGATTAAATTGGAAATTACCAAAATATGTACATAGTATAATATATAATAATTAAAAAGTATATAATAACAAAATTTGATAAAATCTACAAAATAATAACAATCTGAATAAATATCTTTTGTAGTTGTGAAGAGTTGTGTCTTTTTATCGCAACTTTTCATTATTATTTAATACTAAAAAAATATATCTTACGATTGTGTTTCCTTAGCAAGTTGCAATCCGAATTTCTTCTACAGATTATTTTTTGATAAACTTTTCTTCTACAGTTGTATCTTTTATCATAACTCTTCATAAACGGTTGTAACCGTTTTGTTAAACCATTGCAACATTTAATTTACTATATAATTGCAATTTCTTTACAATTGTATCTTCTACACGTGTTGGTTTATGCCTCTGAACTCGTGTTTACACGTTTTGCACCGAGTTGAGAGTGAAAAACCAACCCATGTCTAACCACTAGACCAAGACAACATATTCAAAATTATGATGTAAACAGATTGTATATATATGTTTAAACGCGTGAGTTATAAATTTAGCGCCGTTAAATGATTATGTTACGTCCGTTCACTACAAGAAAACACGGTATTAGCGACTTAATTCGGCGACTGAATATGTAGTCGTTAAATTTGGCGACTAATTAGGGACGTATTAGCGACTAAGTAGTCTATATTAAACATTAGTCGCTAATCAGTCTTTAATGTGAGACTGATTAACGTAGTCGCTAATAGGTCGCCAGTTATAGCTACTATTTAGCGACTCATTTATTTTATTTGGGCAATTAATTGGGATTTTACGGGCTTGATCCAGTAATTTTAGCCCATTAAGCCAGAGTATATAAACTCGGAGTCGCGAAACCCTAACCCTAATCCCCTTTTCTTCTCTCTCGACGAACCCGACGAACCCTAACCCTATTCCCCTTTCCTTCTCTCTCGATTCGATCCTAATTCTTCATCAATCCTCTCAATCTCTCCATTGAATGCTTGAATGATGAAGACTCGTGGTGGAAAAGGCAAGAGAGGAAGGGGATCGAAGATTCCCCCCCCCCCCCAAAATCGACCCACTTCTTCCCAGCCTGTACGAGTTGAATCGAAGACCTTGAATCGAAGACCTAGGGGTCTTCCCAGCCAGTACGAGTTCACGCCGGCGAATCGTCAAGCCCCACTTCAAGATTCTGAACAAGAGCCGATTGCACAACCTCCAACGGGTCCAACCATCAGGGACTATCCTCCTCCGACGCAACTTTTCCAGTCAGGCGAAGGATCTCCTCGCGGATCTGGCTCGACTCCATTTCGAGCATCTGGATCGACTCAACCTAGATCTGGAGGATCTGTTCATCGTCTAGCCTCCAATCAGTCTCCAGCGCCGGTTCAACGGGAAGCCTACAATCAGTCTCCAGCGCCGGTTCAACCGGAAGCCTCCAATCAGTCTCCAGCGCCGGTTCAACCGGAAGCCTCCAATCCTCCACCTCGGCAGGCGTCAAATCCTCCACCTCGAGCCTCTGTATCACATCACAGCTCTCAAGCTCAAAACTCACATGCGGAAGAAGATGAAGATGAGGAAGCTGAGGCTGATTATGAAAGGGAATCAACTCTCCCTGAAGATTCGCTTGCTACTCTCCATGAGTTGCTTCTCCGGCCAGGACGTGAGAAGTATACAACGGTCATCTCTCCCACATTTGAGCCTGAAACCTATTGGTAAGCTGAGTAGATTAGGTTTAGGGTTAATATTGAGTAATGTGTGTGTGTATCTGCTAAGTAGATTAGGTGTGTATATGGTAAGCTGAGTATATTAGGTTTAGGGTTAATATTGAGTAATATGTGTGTGTATGGTAAGCTGAGTAGATTAGGATTATGTGTGTATAAAGCTTGCTAATTGGTTTATGTAATTGTAGGTTTGGTCACGACAATGGTAAGCTGACCCGGAAGATCACAAAGGTATTCACAAACAAGTTTAATGGACCATATTACAATTGGAGCTGTGTACCTACTGAAAGAAGACACAAATACTTCCTCGAATTCGCGGTAAATTAACTTCTATTGTCTGTATCCATTTGGTTTGGTTTGGTTGTTTGATCACTAACATCAAACTCTCCTCTTGTTTTGTAGAAAACACACACATGGCATCCATCACTGACCGGTGTAATTGAAGAGAAATTCTACAAAATATGTCAGCTGCGTATGAAGGACATGGTTTCTAAGGCTTGCTCAAAACGAGCCACTGAGAGACCGCCATGGATTGAGAAGACATTGTGGAAGGAAATGTGTGAGTATTGGGACACAGAAGAAGCACTTGCCAAGAGTTCAACCACATCAGCAGCTCGAATGTCTGACCGTAATGGTCTTGGTCCTCACAAGCATGTATCGGGGCCAAAGTCTTTCTTACAAATCGAGCAAGAGATGGTAAGTTACATCAAGCACTCTTGTTTATTTACATAATGGTTTTCCTTAAGAATTTGAATTTTTTTGTGAACAACATTTCAGGAAATTGAGCTGGGAAGACCACCTACTATTGGTGAGATATTCATTAGGACTCATACCAAAAAAGATGGGAGTTTTGTTGATAGGAAGGCGCAGGAAATTCATGAGGCATATTTGAAGAACAAGGAAGCTAAGTTGGCTGCCCTTGTGAATGATGAAGGGTCTGATGGTACATCCCGTCGATCAGAACTATCTCAAGAGGAGGATGATGAGATCTTCCTTTTGGTAATGTGGTTGATCCTCTTTTTTTTTTTATTATTATCACTTACTTCATCTTTTAAGAACTAATCCTCTTGTTTTTTTTTTGCAGTCAACTGTCACAAACGAGAGAGGGGTATACTTCGGAATGGGAAGCTTAGGGAGGTACATCAATGGGAAGCGGAAGTACCCAGGAAGCAGTTCTGCTTTCACTTCCTTGCAGTCACAGCTTGAGGAAGCCAACCGCAAGATAGAAGAACAAGCGACTCTCCAAGCACATCGGGAGGCAGAGGCATTGCGGGTGAAAGCTGAGCAAGCAGAGATCAAGCGTGTTGCTAATGAGCAACAAGCAGAGATCAAACACTTGAGCATGGTGAAGAAGTACTTGACCGAAACTGACCCCAAGTTTCTCGCCTTCCTCGAGTCTGCTTCAGAAGATCAAACAGAAGAGTTCCAGACTGCTAATGCTTCACAAGATCAAGCCTAGGAGTGAACATCTCATCTCCCCTTCCTTTAGTTGCTTTTCTTGTCTAAACTTAAAAACTTGATATTATGTAGCTTGAATATTATGTTGTGAACATGTTTGAATTATGTTGTGTGTTTGAATCAAGGTTCTTTGTTTGTTAAATATAGTTTTTTAAATTTAGGATTCCATAAATTAGAATGTAAAATTGATAATTAAACCTGTAATCAGTCGTCAATTAGTTGCATTTCAGTCACCAATACTTAAACTAAACAGACGCCATATGGTGGCAAAACAGTCGCTATATCAGTCACCAAATAGTCGCCAAAGAGTCACTATGTAGTGGCAATAATGTCTCCAAACAGTCGCTAATTTGGCGACTGTTAGGCGACTAAATAACGGCACATAATTTAGTAGTTATTCAGTCGCTAAATGGCGACTGTTTGGCGACTCATAAATTTAGCGACGCAAGGTTTACCGACTACGTGTTTTAGTCGCCAAACTGTCGTCTTAATAGGTTTAGCGACTACTACGCTACTTAATGTGTGGTCGCTAATTACATGTTTTCTTGTAGTGGTTAACGGCTGTTAAGTGGGGAATTTGAATTCACCAATAATTTTAAAATAAGGTATTTTTGGTCAAATATATTTAAAGGAGGTATTTTTAGACAACAGAAAATTATTAGGTATTTAACGGCCAGATAAAACATAGATAAGGTTTTTTTTTGTATCTTTCCATGCATAGTTTTGGTATTTGGCATATTTTACGAAGGAAAAAAATAAAAATTTTTGCGAAAAAAGCACCGGACAATGGTGGCTCTAATCAATTCAGTTAAAAAACTGGCAAAAATAGTTTGACAATCGTAGACCTCATGTTGTTGTTCTGTTATGAAGCAAAAAGGGATTCTTGTTATGTTGTGATGTTCATTCTCCATTTCTCCTATCTCTTCAACCTTGGCTTTTTTTTTATCAATAACAAGGAGGTTCTTGACCGATGCCGGCCCATACATCATCTACTTGGGCCAACCTTTAATAATTTATTCGTGCTAGATTTCACACAATCATGTGATCTTTTGCATTACATTATGATATCTTTCAATTTGAGCTATCGAAATATGGTATTTTGTATCCTCGTTTAAAAACTTTTGTGTTATGGAGAATCGAACTCAAGGTCTAAGTAAACAATACTAACCACTAGATTACAGCCGTTTAATGTACTATTTGTTTTATTACCCTAATTTTCTAAATTTTTTGTCAATTAATATTTATATAATTGAAAGGAAAACAAATAATAATAATTTTACGAAAATACGAATCCACGATTTTTGGTGATAAAAGCGCAATTTAATAATTTTGACGGAAAATCCAATTTTACAGTTTCGGCGAAAAATACGATATCACATATTTGACAAAAAAAACAATTTTGAAGATTTGCAAAAGTTTGTCACTCCGAAAAATTGAAAACAATGTTAATAAGAAATGGGTTTTCGAGTTTTAGCCCCAGGCAAAATTTAGTTTCTTGCCTTAGTCTTAACTTTATCCTCTCGATTACCCTTTCTTCTACTTCCATTTCCAACTTCTCAAAAATCTTTTTCTCAAACTCAAATTCAAAATTACAAACCTAGATACTGGTTCAAAAACTCAAATTCAAACTTATAAACCCAGAATTTCCAACTCGAAACTCGAATTCGAAGAAAAAAAATTCGAAGACACTTTTAAAATTCTTGCCTAAAATCAATTACTTTTCAGCTTCAAATCAATATAGAAAAATTAATAAACTATAATGGTTTTGAAGCTTAAAACCTTCTTTCCCAACTAGAAAGTTTAGTTGAGGTCTAAATTGCATCTTATCAGATTTTCGGTTGAATTATAATGTTAATCCGATTTATTACGAGATTTGATGAAAATCGTTTATTTAATAGATAACGGGGTATAACTCGAAATTCAAATTAAATAAAATTAAACTTTGACAAAGTTTAAAATGTGTAATTACATATCAAATCTCAACTTTGATAGTAAAAAGGTAGCAAAACCTGTCATTTTATACCCCATTTAAACTATTATGTTTGATTCATATATGACGTTTCATATGAAAAAACCAAATGAAGTCATTAGATATAAATCGAATAAAATAGTTTAAATGAGGCATGTAATGTCCAATTTACCGAATAAGGCAAAATTATAAAATTCTTTTCAAACACCTAATTTCCTAAAAGATATATATAGATAATTAGATATTGTTGGTACTTTGCCTACATTAATGGTTCTACACCCAGAGGTCTGGGGTTCGAGTCTCAGATACTGCGATTTATTAATAAATTTGCAGATTATTGGAGACAAGTGTACATGTGATCTCCAGCGATATACAATTATAGCCGTTCGCCAGAATTCTACATAGAGAAGAAAGTATCCATCAAAACCATAAAGAAAGAGATCGTGGATCTAATAAGGGTCGGAAGGAATTGTCCATTGTAGAATCGTCTATGCAAGAGTTCTCATAATTTGCAATAAATAATAAATCCTGATGATAGAAAAAAAAATGATAATTAGATATTGTTGGTACTTTGCCCCAAAAAAGATATTGTTGGTACTTGCCTACTTGGTTCCTTATTTTCTTTTGTTTATCCCATCTGACTGAAAGAGGTTCCGAAAAAAAAAAAAAAGAGGTTATAGTTAGGGCCTTAAAGGCCCAATAATAATTTTGAATCCGTATCGACAGGTCAAAAACCCGAAACCCGTTCATCTTCCAGAGACGGGTTTCAGAGAAAGAGAGAAATATGAGCAGCTTCACGATTCCATCTCCTTCCTCCTTCTCTCTTTCCAATTCCTATTATCAACCCTCTCGTAATTCCTTCATTCCCCGCAATTCTCGTTCCAATTTTGAGTTTCGCCGATTAGCTGTCGAGGCTCGAAGAAGAAGCACTTCTTTACGGTGCAGCAATGGCACCCACGGTTCAGATTCAGGTGATTGAAATTTTTTTAAAATAATTTAGGGTTTATCGTTATTGTTTCATTTGATTTCCACTGATATGTGTTAATTAAAACAAATTCATTTTTTTTTTTTTTTGGCAGGTGAAAATGAGAACAGAAGTGTGTTAGATGCTTTCTTTTTGGGGAAAGCATTAGCTGAGGTTATCAATGAGAGAATTGAGTCCACTGTTGGAGAAGTTTTGGGTACTATTGGAAAGTTTCAAGCTGAGCAACAGAAGCAAGTTCAAGAGATTCAGGTTACTTTTTCAACTCTATTAATGAAGAAGCATTGTAGTCTGTAGAATGGTACTTGTGAGCTTTGTAAAATGGTGCTTGAAAACCGCGATAAGTTTGCGAGATTACTGCTAATAGTGTGACATGTATTCGAAAACTGCGATCGATTTTTTGTGTTGTTCGATCTTCATTTACAATGTGGAGTTAATGATTGTAACTTATTTGATTATAGGAAGAGGTTCTTGAAAGAGCTAAGAAAGCTAAGGAAAGAGCGGCTCGAGAAACCAAGGAGGAACAAGGACTTGTTGCTTCCAAATCAGCAGCCATTACCCGAAATCCGGCTGCTAGCGTTGTTACCTCTGTAACTCCTACACCAACCAATGAGAGCAACACTATAATGGGTGGTGTAGTGGAAAGCTCGAGTTCTAGTGATGAAGACTGCGTCTAAACGGTAGTTTCATGGTTACGTTAAAGATTTGGTAATAGCAGCAGCAGAGAGACTTGTCTGAAACGGTTGAGAACATATTCGTTGATACATGTACTTGAAGAAACAATGTAAACAATGAAAGTTGATATAAATCAAGGTTAAACCAGCATTCCCTTAATTGTTTTTATGCATTGATGCACGACTACACATGGTTATATCTCTCAGGCTGTCTTTATATTAGTTGAAGATGACACAAGCCACAAATCAACAAGACTTGAGTTTGCGAGGAAAAAGACCTTAATGAGAAAACCATATTGATGCTAACAAATACCCTTCGAATGTTTCTTTTCATTAATGGGTGAGTGAATGAATTACAAACATCTGCAAATATAGATGAAGAACAACAGAAATCGAATCGCAAACGAGACCATTATGTAAAAAAGAAAAAATGCAACACGCATTTGAAACTAAAGTGAGAGGAGTGACCTTTGGAAGAAAACGAGTAAAATGGAATCCTAAGTCCGTAAGGAAAACACACAAACGCTCATCGACTAAAGCTTAAAGAAAAGAGAAATAACTAAAACAGAGCACCAAAACCTAAACCCATTTGAACTTGTGTCTTGTGCTGCATCCGAAAGATGGCCAATAAGATCAATAGCATCCGGAAGTCTTCCGACTTTTTCCGTCACTTGATCAGGAAGGTTTGTCTCTTTTGCACCAAAAGTAGGTTAGATCATTATTAATATGCGGAAAGATCGCCAATAAGGTCCATTTGTGCGCCAAGGGCATTATTAGTATGCGGAAATACAAGAAGAAGAAGGAGAAATAAAAGCATGGAATAGACCATAGAAGTTGTCATTTTAATAGCCCTCTCAATTTCCTAATCAGTCTGACTCATGTTTATGCATTTATATGGAACAGAGAACTGAAAATATGAAATAGAGAGAGTGAGTGAGAGTTGACGCTGCCAAAGACTTAAGAGTCTTGGTAGTCTTTGGGACAACTCTTCACATTGCATTGTTTAGGTCTCTAGTATTTGATGATTATCCTACTTCCGACCACTTGCCCTTCACATTGCATTAAACTTATTTATGTTATAAGGGACTAGCTAATTATTTTAAATTAGAATATGTTTTGTATTTTCATATAAGACATATTTTTCTACAATTTCTCAAAGTTTAAAAACTTCCATTATTTTTACTCATTCTGTGTCTAAATAATGGATTTTCAAGAGTTTTTACACATAGTTAAAACTGTCAATGCTTAATTTATTTAAGAGTTATATGAAATAAATTATCATAATTGTAAACCAAAAACGATTCAATATATATTCAATTATTTTAAGTCAATATTTCATAAAGTTTACAATTCATTAATTAATATAAATTCATATAAATTTACCAATTCTATCTTTATGGTACAAAACAATATACAAAATTATTCTTTCAAGCTCCTATATCGAAATGGAAATATATTTAGGAAAACAATCCTAAATTCGATAAATATTACATCATATGCTATTGTTTTTTTCTTAATTCACATTAATTGCAAAAATGTCATTGTATCCAAGAAACTTCACAATTTATACTATACTATTCATACAATACAACCAAACATAATTAACAAATCATACTAAATAAAACATAAAATCAAAACACTTGAAGTCTAATAAAGTTTTGAATGGTTCAATGAAGCGCTGCGAACATGACATAAAGTATGTACCTAATCTACCTACCATTCACAACATCGGACCAATATGTGGTATTGCATACTAAAAATCTAGCTCACTACTGGATTTTTTCGTTTGCAGCTTCATTAACAATCTCCCAATACAAAGTATTCATACTCTCATAGCTTCATTAATAAATTAGTTGTTTTTGGTCCCACACTATTAATAGTTTCAACCAAAAGAAAAACCAGTTAGTTTATAGGTTTATATTAATCTAATACGTGGTTTTGTTTCTCTTACATTGGAAAACACTATAAAAATGAAACTATTATCGTTTGTTTGGTATTAATCGTTGATATTTTTTACACTATATGGAGGCCTCCAAGCCCACCTCTTGGTTGCCATTGCTCGATCACTTGCTATTTGCGAGTTACATGTCGATTACTTGAGAGTTACGTACGAATTATTTACAAATTACTTTTTTTTTAATTAATTATTTTGCATGTTCTTTATCCAATTAGCAAGTGTAAATTAGTGAAATACCTTGAATTCTATAGAAATGAAAATGTCATATTTTTAGTTGAACCAAATATGTGATCCGAGATGTTGAATGGAAAGTGGATATCTCGATCTTGTTAACCATTTAACTCCTCCTGACATTCAACAACTAGCTTTCCGCTACTCCAACATATTTTAGAGAGAAGTATTAATATCATGGGGGACGTGAACATCATAAAACAAGGATGTTACAGCCTAAAGTATAGATCTTCTTATATTCATGCTGATAATTACACCACATTCTACTGTATGATTGAGTTCATCTACCTTATAATCTACTAAGAGCATCTCTAAAGGCAACCTCAAATCTTCAAATATAAGGTTTTTGGTTCTCCAAAAGCAACCTCAAAACCTCAAATTTGAGGTTTTGTCTTTTTTTATTTGCAGTTTGGTCCTCATAATTATTTATATCTTATAAATACTTTTACTAATTTATTATTTTATCATATTAGTCCTTAAAATTTTTATGTCTTATAAATAGAAATTTCATTTTTCCAGATAACAGTAAATAAACAACATAAAATAATATAAAATATTACATAACATTAAAAAAAAATATTACACAATACCAATATTACATTAAGCAAATTTATTACAAAAAATAAAAAAAGAGAGGAAAATAAAATTACATGAAAATATAAATATTATACAAATTATATACTACAACAATACTAATATTCATGTAAATTTCATCCCGAACCTCCAAGATCACCAAAATATGGTCCATAAAAATTTGGTGAAATTAGAGATTGTTGTGGTTGTTCTTGATTTTTTTTGTGTATGATTCTTGCTTGTTCAGATCGAATATACGTACGGGTATTACTATCAGCAATAGTGTCTAAATCTTTTAACAAGATTTTGTTCTCCTCGTGCATTTCTTTTAGGGCTAACTTTTTTACTTGATTTTGCATACGAAATTCAGCTTACTCGTAACTTTTTTCCCTAGTTGCTACACTTTCTTTTAAGAAATCTAGGATTTGTTCATTTGAAGAAATCAAAGTGTCAGCAGATGAATTATTACCTTCTGCAATATTTCTTTTGAGTTTTGCTTTCTTTCATCCAATGGGACGTTGTGATGAATTTGATCCACCATCTTCACTACTTAAATTGATTGAAAATGATGACATTCCTGGAGATTGTGATGTTGGAGAACTGGCGATATCGCTCTCGGTGTTAGGAGTATCTGGAATACCGACGCTAACACTGTCTGTGAACTTTGGGATATCCTTCAGCAAAGCCCATACATGATCGAATTTAAAACCTTTCTTTAGTTTCTCAACTTGTACCAACAATTTCTTGGCTTTTTCCATCTGCATAACATTTAGAACAAAAAATTTAGTTATTTACACAAACATATATCATATATAATTAGAGTAGAAAAAATTATATACTTACAATGTCAATTTCTGACGCACCACTTGGATGCATATTCTCCACTTGGATTATGCAGCTCTTCAAATTCCTAACGGCATAATAGTATTCATTCTACCTTGTAGTGACCTATTGCTTCTAATTCCCAACTCCCATTTTTTTTACTATTGTAACTTTTTTTTATTTTTTCCATAATTTTCCTATAGCTTGGTTATTGCTACCAATGGGATCTCGCGATATTTCTAAATATACACGACACAATAACTCATCTTCTTGTTGAGTGAATGATGAGCCTCTGTTTTTTTTCCATATTGTTTATAAAATGAGTTGTTTGAAGTGTGATTTTTTTCATTGAATGAAGTGTATTATTTATACACGATAATGGATGTAAAAGATTTCAAATGAATGGCTACAAATCAATTTTTTAGATTTTCTTATCAAGTTGGATGGATTGGATATGATTTTAATCCAACGGCTGATAATGTGAGAGATCTAATGGATGATGTAGATTAAATTAGAAAGATTTCCTTATCTTCTCAAATAAAAAATGTATATCTATAAAAAAATGTATACATGGACGTTTCACAAACATCACAATATCTCAACTTAGTAAAAATAAATTTTAATATTGGAGAGCCATCTTCTTTTGTAAATTCGTCTTCTTCTTCAGACTCATCTGATTTTGATGAATGGCTAATGAATGAAAATGCATCAACAGAAGAACAAATTGCAGCAAATTTGTATGTCAACAACAACCGCCTTCTTCACCAAATTACTCAAGAAAGCGATCACGTAAGTCATCGAGGCTCTATTCATGGTCATGCAGTTATACAACGTGATGGAGAAAATGCTCATCTTAATTTGTTCAATAATTATTTTTCTAATAATCATGTTGGTGAGAGAGAGTTCCATCGTCGATTTCGAATGTCGAAGAGGTTATTTCTCCACATTGTTGATGCTGTTAAACAACATGACAACTACTTCACCCAACATCGTCTTGTGACTGGTAAAATGGGCTTATCCACCCTCAAAAAAGTAACAGCCGCTCTTCGGATTTTGGCCTATGGTATGCCTACTGATGCAGCAGACGAATACATCAAAATAGGAGAGTCTACAACAATTGAATGTATGAAGAGATTTTGTCGCGCCATTGTAGAACTGTTCTCGGAGTGGTATCTCAGGTCACCAATATCAGAGGAAGTTGCCCGACTTATTAATATCGGCCAACAACGTGGATTTCCTGGAATGTTGGGTAGTCTAGATTATATGCATTGGAAGTGGAAAAATTGTCCAACTGCATGGGCAAGACAATTTGCAAGCCGTAGCGGATCACCCATAATAATTCTTGAAGCAGTGGCAGATTACGATCTATGGATATTGCATGCCTATTTTGGTATGCCAGACAGTAACAACGATATTAATGTTTTGAATTCATCTAACTTATTTTCAAAGCTTGCTCAAGGTATCGCTCCTCCAGCTAATTACATTATTCAGGGACAAGAGTACACCATGGGTTACTACTTAGCTGATGGCATTTATCCAAAATGGTCAACTATTGTTCAGACTATAAGTGATCCTCA